AAAAAACAAGCATGATGACCTTAGAATTGAATAGGGAGTCGTGTTCATTAATGAAGCAACAGATTTTAATTGGACAAGTACCAAGATAACAAAATGATCCACCAATCAAAACTCAAGATTTTTTTTTCTTTTTATTATTTTTTTGCGTAAAGTACTTGAGCTCTCTCTCACTCTCTCTTCCCTTGAATCAGCAATGAGCAGGATCACTCCTGACACACGGGAAGAATAAATAACACGCTCACGCGCCCCAGCCGCCTCCCTCTCTGATGATGCTCACTCACAATGATTCATCAACAGAGATCTGGGCTCCGATGAGTTCATTTTCGGAGCCGAGTGTTCTGTCGTGGGCCCTCGGATGCCCCCACCCCCATCCCGCGTCTCCACGGACGTGAAGGCTGCCGTGCCGCAGCAGCAGCAGCAACATCCCCGGTGGAAGCCTCCAAGCTGCGTTTTCCTCACCGCGACAGATCCCCGTGGAAACCGGTAAACAGCTGGACTGTGGAAAACCCACCGGCTCGCAATGACAGAGGAATAAGAAGAAGAGCACTAGGTTGGGGGTCCAGCTTGTTTATCAGACTGATAGAAATAAACATCTGGTTTGACGCTGGTATGCTGGAGCTGGATAACTATTGCTGTGTGACCGACACCCATCTGCAGTTGATTACAGCACAATGAAAAAGGTAAGACCGCGGCTGAATGCATGATTTTCATCGGGACGCTGCAGTTTCCATCTATTAAACAGAGTGACGTCTAGGATGGAGCTGATCAGGATGCATTGTTGCATCGCAGTCAATCTCCTGAGTTAACATTTATGATTTCCTCTCTTTCACCTGTCGAGTGGAGTGTGGCTGCTGGATGTCCATATTTAACTTATGTCATGTCAAAAGCCAAATTTGCCTTTAGTTGGACGGCCCTGTCACTCAATGGCACCTGAAATATTTCATTCATTTTTTTCCCCCATCATATAATGAATGACCTGTAGATGTTTAATGACTGTAACTGATCCTGCCACTCATGGAAAAAAAATAAATAAAATAAAAAATCATCAGAGTAGCAATTTGTGTTTTTATTCAACACAAAATGCAAGTTTCAATTGTGCACTTTTTAATTTTGTAAGGATTTAATCTTTGGTACTGTCTGGCATTGATACCCCCCACCACGCACACACACACACACACACACACACACACACACATTGTTTTATGAACGAGAAAAAACTATGGCTTTTTAAGATAAGCCTACATCCAGTTTTTTTTGTGTGTCTTTTCTGAAGTTATGTCACGGTCTTGGTTCTGTTATGTTTAACTTTACTCCAAGTTTTCTAGTTTTATTGGTTTATTTCCTATTTTGTTGCATTTTCTGAATATATTTAAGTTCTTATGTTTTTATTTGTTGCCCTTGTGTTGGTCTCCTTTTCCCTAGCTAATTTCTTGACTCCTCTCTTCACACCTGCTCCCAATCAGCTCATTAGTCCTCTCTTTGTTCAGTCTATCATAAATTCTCTCCTTGTGCATCCTTGTCTCTCCTCACCTTTCCCTGGCTCCACATGCTCTTTTCCCCTGATGTCTCCATGGTTCTGGTTAAGTTTTACATTTGAAGTTGGATTTTGGATTCCTGCCTCTGTTAACTGTTATCACTAATTAAAATTGCAAGAAGTCACCTCTGCCTCCCTGCCTCTGCATTTGGGTTCTCAAACCTCAACCAAACCCTGACAATATCATGCTCACTGCAACTGGTGCTGCAGTGCTTGTTTTCCCAAAGAAAACCAAAGTCTAGCTCTGGTTCCTCATAATCTACCATTAGTTTGTAAATAAACCTTAAAAGCAGATCTTTATTAGATGCGCCAGCATACTTTTATTGGGTTATACTGTTTGCAGTTATCTTTGTATCTCTGCTTCTGTCTCCTTGAACCCCAGTCGGCCTCAGCAGATGGCCGCTCACACTGAGCCTGGTTCTGCTGGAGGTTTCTTCCTGTTCAAAGGGAGTTTTTCTTCTCCACTATCGCTACAAGCACGCTTAGTGTGAGGGACGGAATCTCAGTCAATGAATAAACTGGTTTTCCCTAGATAGAAAACTTTGAATCAATTTGACTGTATGATCTGGTGAACTGTAAAGTGCCTTGAGATGACATGTGAATTGGCGCTGTATAAATAAACTGAATTAAATTGAAATGAATTAGAGTTGGGGGGGATTTAACATCTTTTGCATCAAAATCTTCATATGTTAACATATTTCAAATGGTGCCATTAAGATTAAATTAATTCTAGATACAGGGATTCTTTGAAAAACACCCAAATAAAAACAAGTTGCCTCACAAATTCAGTTGAATGTCAAACATGAAGTTATATATAATTTGTTATAAGAATAGACTGTCACAGAAAAGAAGTATTGAATGCATAAAGGAAAGGGAGTTGGTTTTAAAAATTTAAAGCTAAGAAAACTGCTAAAATATTGTATAATTTAGATAGCAACCCTGCTATTTTAAATGGAATTTGAAATGATCCAACTTAGTCCTTTTTGGGGTTTTTTCAAAGGGGTTGCACAAGAAGCATCCCATGATTGATTAAAGTAAAGAGACCTCCTCTGCTGTTTATTGCTATTAAACATACAGATGGCATGAATTTTAAACATACTGCACTCTTCTGATTTTTTCATTAAATACAGTTAGGGTCCTAACCCAGAAGGGGTCGGATCACAAGTCACCTCTAAACTGGACAAAACCAGGATCTCCTCAAAACCAATAACCACCTATGCAGAGTTTAAACATATCGGTATTCAGCAGTTTTCAATTAAAACAAGGATTAATTAGCTCACTGCACAAGACACCCCAAAGCAGAAAAATAATATTTTATCTTACTAAAAGTTTGCCGCAGGATATCTGGACAAGCTACTAACCGCTGTGGGAACATAGTCTGGTTAGAAAAGAGGAATACTGAACTTTTTGCGCACATCATGTTTGGAGGATGAATAATACTGACAAAATACCCCCAAATGCTGCAAACTGGGATATTTGCTAGTAAGATCATCAAGGAGGGTTTTCTTTCAGCATATTAGACAGGAGGAATGTGTTCAGCTGAAGGAAAGATGAGCTTAATAAAGAACTAGCATATTCCTAATGAAAACCTGATGATAAAAAAGTATCTCATACATACAGTCAAATAAATATTCAATTGGTTTGAAATTAAAAGAAAGTAAAGGTACTAAAGTGGTTGAGTCAATTCCCAGACTTCAACTATTTAATAATTGTTATAAAAGAAGATTACACAAAAGAACCACAGAAGCCTTAATACTTGAAAACGATTTAAAAAAATCCCACCCGTGGCAAACATGCAACAAGTTTTTCAATACAAAACAATGCTGCACTATTAAGCATTAAATATATTTCAGTAAGCCTGTGCAATACTGTTTTTCCCTTATACTTTTCAATCCATAACTTGTGTACTAATTGATTTTGATATCTCTGTTGGGAATTGCCCTCCGTGCCAAAATCATGTGTTATCGTCTTTTTAATAACCCATTAAGAAATGTATTTTCTTTAGAAAGGATGTGTATGTACATATTTTTATCCATATGTTCCTTTGTGAGATTTTTTTCAAACTCAGTACTAGCCAACTTTTTTTTTTTTTTTGGATAACATGGTCCCATTATGGTTTGGAGAGCTGTTGCAAAGCATTCTGGGATATATCTGCTCGTCTTGTGACCGTCAATCAAAGAAAACATATTACAAAGTAGGGATGAAACAATTAATTGGAATAATCATGATTAATCGATTATTTAAAAAATCGAAAACGAATTTAGTAAACGATTAATCATTAACTGGAGTAGAGACTTCAAACATGCCTTTAACTGAAAGAATGACCCCTGTAGAGCAGTAATTATACCAAACTTTTAAAATGATATTTAAGCATTTTGCATTTAAAATAAAAAAAAAGACTTTTTGTCTGTCAAAATGCTCTATCCAGAACTCCTGAAGTGGAAACATTTTAGTTTCACCTGGATTGATTTAAGGAACCTTTGGCTATCCGATTATTTATCGAAAAAATAATCGACAGATTAATCAATTAAAAAAATAATTTTTAATGCACATGCCTTTCATGACCTCAAGACATGGCTGCTGAATGCACAAGTGAATTGGCCCACTTATGCATATACTGGACTATACTAATACATAAAAAAAAGGAAATTGGTGTTATGACTTGGCATCAGTTTGAATAGCAGTATCTTAACACTTCCAGCACTGTTCAAAATATCATAAAGGAGTAATTTTGTTGTTTTGGTCTCCTTGCGTTAGATTTTAAAGAAGCCTTAAACATGGCTACCGATGGAGGGGGAGTATTGGCTATTTCACTGTCAAAAAGAGCAGAAATGTCACAATGCATTGGCCTAATAGGCATTAGAATGTACATGGACAACAGTTGACCCTTTTCCTTTTTTGTCTGTTCCCTTCTTTCTCTGTTTAACAAGCTTCCTGTTTTTTTAGATCCCACCGCTCCAAATGTAAGACCAATACCGTGTGTAAGATTAGATGAATTATCATATAGCAGCTTAATGCACCTTTCCTGCTACTTGTTATTCATACTAAATTGAATTATGCAGTTCTACAACCAAAATCAATGTGGATTACCAAATATTTTGTGTGGTGCTTCTTTCTTGTTCTTCATTAGCAAAATATCCTACCCTAACTCTAAAACTACCTTATGATACAAGGGCTCAACTAGAAATATAAGGTTCTCTTTTGTCTTCAATAAATCCACCAGCGAGCCAAGGTTTGAAAGTTGAAAAGTATTCTGCTGACCTGTAATCTGACAACGTGTGTAGTAAGGTCCCAGAGTGATATGAGGCGGCCAGCCATGCGCCCCTCTGAAACTAAGGAACAGGAGGGAGAGATTCGAGGATGACAGCGGTAGATCAGAGCGGTCCATCGAGCACAGAGAGTGCCATTTTAGGGAAGAGGGGTTGGCTTACCAAAGTTAGCTCTTAAGGCTACCACAGTAATCTAAAAAGGACAGTGGTACATTGGAGAGCTCCGCCGAGCGAAAAGCACCAGAGCGAGGAGATATTTAATAGTCCTAGGGCTAAATTAAAATGACTTTTTAAAAAGGCACCTACAATCCACCTAAACACATTCTCTACATCATTAAGAGCGCCACCAACACCAAAGGATTCTGCAACAATAGGAATAATAGCTTGAAGTGATGTGAGACTGAGCTTAGGCGTTGTCAGCATCGCCTAGTAGCAAGGTTGGTCTCATTTCTTTCCTCGTTTGTGGGTAAATATATTTTGTATATGCATACATATATGGATATACTGAATAACAATTAACTTAATGAGATAACCCTGGCTAACCCAGAAGAGGAGCTTGGATGTTAACAGGCCTTCACAGTTGTTTCTCATGCCTATCGCTGCATTTTAAACTTTGTGCACTCATGCAGCTGTAAAGTCCTGGTTTATATGTCATTAAAAATTTAGATTATTATTTTAACTGTTTTTTTTTTTTAATCTAAACTTTTAGTGGTAATCACAGTTGCTGTTCAAACTGTAACTACCGTTTTGTCTTTCAAACCAGTTATAGTATTAGCCCTAACTTTAACACTAAACACCTTCAGAATCGGCTAAGTGGCTCTCTGGAAATGTCAGCGTCTCGGTTTTGCTAATGATATTATTGATGGAGAGAACTCAT